CCTAGCCGGCATTTGCGTGTCAAGCGCAAATGGTCAAAGTGATAGTTGCGGGAAAGACGAGGCACGATAGGCAAGTTCAGCGGCGACACCTTGGCTCTTTACGGACGAACACAGTAGCACCACGCACGCGTGTTCGTTATGACACGGCGTTGCAGTCTTTTTACCAGTATTGTCAGTCTCACAAAGTACGCATCCCTGACGAGGGTTCCCAACTTGATGATGTAGTGGCTGACTACATCGAATTCCTATGGGAGGAAGGTGAAGGCTTGTCCAGAGCCACGGACACGATCTCGGGATTACAGGACCTCAAACCTCGCCTGCGTGGGCAGTTGTCGCTGTCTTGGCGACTTGTTAAAGCTTGGCAAAGAAAAGAGATCCCGTTGAGGGCTCCTCCTTTCCCGGAAAATGTGCTGCATGCATTGTGCGGCTACTTCTTCTTTTCTGGAGAGCCACTCATGGCGCTTGCTCTTGAAGTCGCTTTTTACGGAGTTCTCCGAACTGGTGAACTTCTTTCTCTTTCTTCGCATCAAGTCGAGGTAGCTCCCAACGATGCGTGTGCAGTTCTGAACTTGGGCCTCACCAAAACCTCCCAGCGTACGGGAACTCAGGATAGTGTCACCATTCGCGTTTTGCATGTTTGTCAACGGCTTCGCCAATGGAAACAGTCGGTGCCATTTAAGACACCTCTAGTCACTGTTTCGGATTACCTTTTTCGTAAATCGTTTGACCGGGGGCTTCATGCTCTGGGCCTTTCCTCCGGCGGATTCCGGCCTTATAGCCTCCGCCGGGGGGGTGCGACTATGTACTTCACCAAAAACCCATCTATGGATTGGTTGCGCTTGATGGGTCGGTGGTCATCAGACCGCACGGTCAGAGTGTACGTCAATGATGGCCTAGCCCGTTTAGCAGAAATGCAATATGATGTCTCAAAGCCTCCGTTGCGGGCTTTCTTTTCTACTTATCTCGTTCAGTTTTCGCGTCGCGTTGCAACTACTCGGGGTCGTGGAGGGTAGCTTGTGAGCTCCACGCATTCTGACAAAGTCATCTTTCTATTCCATACCGTAATGCCGTTTGTCGCGGTTTCTGAAGGATCTGCTGATTTGTAAAGCTCGGATCGGCACCGAAAGACTTGTAATGCAAATCCGGAGCTGAAGACTTGTAATATGCAGATCCTTGTGGAGCTCCAGCTACCAAAGAAGATTTGTAAGCGTAATTTCTGCTACGAACAGGCAGTCTCGCAGAAGAGAAAAGAGTAGAGCGAGAGTGGAGTCTTTGACTCATGGCCTCCTAGTTTAAGACGACACCAAGCGATCTCTTCTTGCTCGTAGCCCTTTTCGTGTCCCACCACTCCCGCCCCAGCCTTCTCAGGACACCTGAGATGCTTTCTTGGCACGCTGGCCCTTCTTTCCTTTTCGGAGGGTAGCTTGTGAGCTCCACGCATTCTGACAAAGTCATCTTTCTATTCCATACCGTAATGCCGTTTGTCGCGGTTTCTGAAGGATCTGCTGATTTGTAAAGCTCGGATCGGCACCGAAAGACTTGTAATGCAAATCCGGAGCTGAAGACTTGTAATATGCGGATCCTTGTGGAGCTCCAGCTACCAAAGAAGATTTGCAAGCGTAATTTTTGCTACGAACAGGCAGTCTCGCAGAAGAGAAAAGAGTAGAGCGAGAGTGGAGTCTTAAATCAAGGGCACAGCAGCAGTCCAAGGCCCACCCTCGGAGTTCAGGATCTATAAGAGTTCTGATTTAGAAACCAGGGGTGCTCCATCAGTCCAAGCTCCCACCCTCGGAGCTCAAGATTTTAAAGAGTTCTGATTTAGAAATCAGGTGTGCCCCCATCAGTCCAAGGCGCCACAGCTCCGGAGGTCAAAAAATCAAAACCAGAGGTGCTTTATTAGTTCAAGCCCCCACGGTCGGAGTTCAAGATCTATAAGAGTTTTGATTAATCAGGCGCGCTCCATCAGTCCAAGGCCCCACCCTCGGAGTTCAAGATCTATAAGAGTTCTGATTTAGAAACCAGGGGCGCTCCATCAGTCCAAGCCCCCACCCTCGGAGTCCAAGGTCTATAAAGTGCTGACCTAAAAGTCAGATGCGCCCCATCAGTCCAAGACCCCACCCTCGGAGGTCAAGATCTACAAGAGTGCTGATTGAAAAGCAAGAGGCGCTCCATCAGTCCAAGGCTCCACGCTCGGAGTTCAAGATCTATAAAATTTCTGATCGCAACGTCAGATGCGCCCCATCAGTCCAAGGCCCCGCCCTCGGAGTTCAAGATCTATAAGAGTTCTGATTTAGAAACCAGGGGCGCTCCATCAGTCCAAAGCCCCACGCTCGGAGTTCAAGACCTATAAAAGTTTTGATCCAAAAGTCAGATGCGCACCATCAGTCCAAGGCCCCACCCTCGGAGGTCAAGATCTACAAGAGTGCTGATTGAAAAGCAAGAGGCGCTCCATCAGTCCAAGGCCCCACGCTCGGAGTTCAAGATCTATAAGAGCTCTGATTTAAAAACAGGGGGCTCTCCATCAGTCCAAGCCCCCACGCTCGGAGTTCAAGATTTATAAGAGTTCTGATTGTGCCAGGCTGTAGGCAGAACTCCACCGCAATTCCAGTGCAATCGGCGCAATTCGGAGCAAACAGCGCAATTCAGCGCAAGCGGCGTAATCGGCGCTTTCCAGCGCATTCCAACGCAGTCGGCGCATTCCAGAGCATTCGGTGCAGTCCAGTGCAGTTGGCGCATTCCAGCGCAATCGGAGCAATACAGCGCATGGCCATCTACGGCCACAGCCCGCGCGCACTGCATATATATATATATATATGGATATGGCAGATGATCGCCTCTTCAGAGCACTGCACGGTGAAGGATTCTTGCCTTCCGCCACTGTTGCAATGCTGGCGCGACAGCACCTCTGCGAATCCGGCTTTGGTCTACTGGCAGCGCACCCCGTCCCGAATCCTTGATGTCCCTGGTGACCGTTGGCCGTTCAAAGGCTGGCAGCGGCTCGCAGCCCACGCTTGCGACAAACGTGCGTGCGAGATGCACTTTTCTGCTGCCCTCACACCCGCGTCCCGCGTTTCGTGCGCTGCTACTGTCCCAAGCCGGGTCCTTCGCCGCCCGCATCACTGTACCCAGTGCGCTGTTCTGTGTGCCTCAGCTGCGCCGCCTACGGCTCCAGTTGCCACTGGCGCCGCGCAGGTGTAGCTGTCGTGGGCAGCTTGATGCGCTCGGTGGTTCTGGCCACCCATGCCCTGCCCCTTGAGCACGCTGTTGTGGGCCCCTCTGGCATATTTAGGCAATGTCGGTGCAGCACGCTGTCACCGGCACGGCCTTCCGGAAAGCGTGGCCGGCGCCACCCCGTGCGAGCCAGTTCTCGGGCCCTTCGTTGAAGCGGGCACTCGAGCTTGCAGATCATGCAGGGCTGAGCCGCTTGCAGCTCCGCTGAGGCGGTGTCAGTCGCGGCGTGCTGTTGTGACCCTCTGACTTTGAAGTCGCGCAAGAGCAAAACTGCGCGGAAAATGAAAAATTGTTGGAGAAATAGTGGACTTCTGGGTACGGTTGCGGCGCCGCTATCGACGCATGCGGCAGCCACCCTGCAGAAATGTGCGGAAAAACAAAACCGATGTATTCGCCATGTGTTTGGAGTGAATTCAATGGTCCAAACGGCCTGTCGCAGCTATACAGTTTTTGACCGCTGGGCCCCCCGTTGCCGGCTTCATGTGAAGGCATTGTGGTTGATGAAGTGGTTGAAGCTGCCACTTCAGTTTTGGAGAAGCATTTGCCAAACAAATTCTCGTGCATGTTTCTATTTTAAAGCACACCTTTTGCGACAGCCATATGCGCCGTCCCAGTGCACTTGCAGGCTACGTGGTGCGCGTGGGAGGGGCATCCAGCGATCGCTCGTCTTGCAGGACCTCATGTACAATCGGTTCACCGGCAGCAAAGGCGACTGTGTGGAAAAGGAGTTTGAGCAATGGGCTGGCGAGTGCCCGTTGCACTGCGTTTGGGCAGTAGCACTTTGCAACAGGGTCTGGCATTTTGCCGATGAACAATTGGGGCAGAATCGAGAATGTGGCATACGCAGTTTGGATTCGGTTCAGAGAAGGGCACAGTTGACGCAATATTCGATGCTCGACGACCTGGTCACCAAGATATGACTTGAGATTTACTGGGAAGAAACCGAAGCATTATGTAAAAGAAGCTTTGGCTCATAGTTATTAACAGCTCCAGTAAACTAAATTCGTCTACCATAAAATGACCTAATTTCTGGAATCTAACTTCCACTACAGTATAAATAATGTTACGCGAAAAGCACAGAGAATGAATGTAGTGCTTACGCTTATGTTTAAATGAATAGGAAAACCTAGAATGTGTTACTTTCACTTAATTTTCATACCCGTCCGTGATGCAGTTTAAATAGACTGGAACAAAAAAGGATGGATTCCAGTGGAATTTGGTTGAGGTTAGGAGCGAAATATCTTGCAATATTGGGCATAATGAAAGACTACTTAACGGAAAAAGCAAATTATTGGCCTCCAACATAAGAGCTTCTTGGAGCAGACACTGACGAGCAGGGAGGCCAACTGGTTCGTGGACTCTGACCGACTTCCCATGCACCCTTCCGATTTGGTGTTCCGCAGAAACGTCGAAGAAGGACCCATGCGATTTACAGCGACAGACAGCACAAAGTTCACGATTGTGGGCCAGATTCCCCCATCTGCAGACAACATTCTGGGATTTCTCACGGATGTCCGTTATCCCCAGTCCTGTTCTCAATAATGATGAACGGTCGACGCTTCCGCCGACTTGCGTTTGCTCATGCCGCATTCGGAAACAGACCTGCCAGTCGATGAGCCTGCGTAATCTTGCGTATGCAGATAAGACTGCGATCGCTGCTTTCTCAGCGTCCCGGGCCGAAGCCTACATACAATGTTCGAGTTTTGGTTTCTATTCGCGGAAAGTCAAAGCCATGCCCGTTCTCTATGTTCTTGACGTTCTGAAGCATGATGGTCGCTCTCTTGAATATGTTGAATGCAAATCTTCCTTTGTTTACTTGGGTAGTCCGACCAAAGATGACCAAAGCTCAATCGCCGACCCGGGCTCGGCCGGAGCTGATTTTCAAACTCTCAACCGAAGTTCAAGCTTTCAACGCAGTTTGGAAGCGTGCTTGCATTGTTGCACGTCGCAAGGTTCGCATGTTCGATGCGTGCATTGGTTCCCGGCGGTTGTACGGCCTGCACACAGCTTGGCCGAACAAACGTGTATTAGCATGGAGGTGCAACGTCGCCGGAGAGGCGCCCGAGCTGCACGAGGTCCTCGCGGACGTGCGATGGCAGCTTCCGCCGGTTGGCAGCCGCCGGGGGCCTCGACATAGTGAGCTGGCACGAGCGCCTCCGCAGGACCAGGTAGGCACCGACAACTTTGACTCATTGACTCGGGGCTGCCGAAAAAAGTGCGTGCGAAAAAAAAGAGTTTAATTGAAAGCTGCCGGCTCGCCGTGTAACTGGTTGTCAACCCCTCCTCTCCTTTGCGCGCCAGTTTTAGTTTGCACCCAGCACGTACACATGGTACAGTGAAATCCAGCATTCATCCGCAAACCAATCTTGGCAAGCTCTTCCATCGGTGTCGTAATCATTGATATCAACTCATCGCAAGATTTCGCGTAAAGCATGAGATCATCGGCGAATCTCATGTTGGTCAGTCTTTCGGCAGAGCCAATATCCCATCCGTGATGACCCAACCGCATCTTCCATGAATTCATTGCACAATCCAACCCTATATTGAAAAGCAGTGGACTGAGCACATCACCTTGTTTGACACCCCTGTCAATGTAGAATCGCCGAGTGTCCTTCAAATAACCCGATTGCGATGTGTATAGCACACGCAACATCTGGATGTAAGCATTTGGCACACCTGCCACTGACAATGCTGTGAATCATGCTGCATGGTCGATTTTATCAAAAGTTTTGCGTAAATCAAAACTCGCGCAACAAATGTCGCTTCCCCATTCTGAACATTTCCCCACCATGTTGTTCAAAACAGCGAACGCATGGTCCACTCCAGCTCGTGGCCGAAATCCAGCTTGGTCATGTGACAAGCGCGGCTCCAGCAGAGGTGCTAAACGACCATGAAGCAACTTGGAAAATGTTTTATACGATATCCTCAATATAGCGACAGGACGCCAATTCTTCAACAATGCCTTGTCACCAGATGTGGGTAGCATTGTGAATATCGTATGCTTCCAAGACTGTTCAACATATCCGGTTGCAAGAACGTTGTGGTAGAGGTCCAAGAGACACATGAGCAAATCGTCAGGGGCAAATGTAAACAGCTCCAACACCACACCGTCCTCATCAGCAGCTTCGCCATGTCGCAACTGTCGAATGGCTTGCTTCAACTCCGGCAAAACGAAAGCTGGTATCACATCCGTTGCGTTGTATGTTGAGCTAGGTGGATTCGAAACATCAGAAGCAAATATGTCCCCCAAATAGTTTGCAAAATCATTTGCAGATGGTCCATTATTGTTGTGAGCTCTTCTGCAATGGATGGGATCATGTCGAACCGCTTCAATACGACCCAAGTCCCTGAATTCAGTCAAGATCGAAGTTCATCTGCTGTTTCGTTTGCTTCTCATGTGTTTTCGAAGCTCACTGCGTATCACTTTGGAAAGGCGGGCCCGGTCAGTTTTATTTTTGCATTGCCTCCGTTGCGCAAGTAGATGTTGGAAATCTTTTCGATGCCACGGCTTCATATCCAAATCATGAGTATGTGTAGGCCGCTGTTTGGCACGCGGCGAACATTGCAACACACAAGCATACATTTGCGTGAAACTCGTTGGCATTGATTTTCGCAAATGCGCCTGTAACTTTGAGTGGCACGTGCTTAATTCCAGCTTCGTCGGCATCCAACGTTTTCATCTGTTTGTGTGATTTGAATTTCTGCGCTGTGCTCATGCATGTCGTCTGCCGGCTCAAAGTCGCAACTTCAACACGTACTGCTCTGTGGTCCGATCCCATGTCCAGTTCGTTTGTAGCAACACCAGATATGATTTGTAAGCATGTGCTGCAAAGCAAAGCACGAAGTCAATCTTCCGCTTAATCATGCTTAATCCACATGGAACTGCAGAATGTCCAATCTGATGTGACGTCCTGCCCATGGGCAATGACCATCTTGAACATGTGAGCGGTTTGCGATAGCATATCACCCCGATCTCCGACATGAAGTTGCGTGTTGAAGTCACCCCCAAGAATGATGGCCATATTTTGTCTCGCCAAGGACGAAATGCAAGGAATCATACATGCGTTTCAAGTCTTCTGCAGGATATCCCGCATGCGGCATATAGACGGATATGATACGCATCTTACTTCCACCATGTTGCAGATCAACATACATCAACCGCTCATTTATTTCTTTTACGCATCGCACTGTCGAGACATGCCGTGCATTTACCAATATCGCCACTCCAGCACAAGCAGTCGGTTGCTGCGAAGAATACATCCGGTGTCCCTCATCCAGCTCAGCAGCTTCATCTGATCGTCGGGTTTCAGACAGCAATCCGCAGCAGCAGACGAGGATGCCTTTCTGGCCACGCGCGCGCCAACAAGCGACCGCTACTGGCCGGGGCACTGGACGGGGCCGGCGCGGACGTGGGCGCGGAGGAGGAACCGCAGCTTGCCCCGATGACCTTCCGCCGCCTCCCCCGCAGCCACCCCCCACTCGGCGTGGGCAAGCCAATGCGACTGCTGAAGCTGGCATGCGGCGCGGCTTTGTCTCCCTGGATGCGGTCAATCTCCAAGCCAGCTGCCGCCAACGGGTCTTCACGCTGCAAGCAGCCCCAGCCCGCATCCGTGGAGCCCTGCGTACTGCACTGCGCACCGGCCTACGGCTCGCAGTCCACCCAGCAGCTCCCGAGGATGCCGCGCGGGGTTGGAAGCTTTTCTGCCTCGCTCCCCGCATGCTCCTGTTCCGCTCGCCGGGTGAGTCGCGCATTCCGCCGGCAGAGCTGGACAGGCGGTGCGAACTGTTCCGCGCCGGGCAGTGGTCGGACCTCCTCCGCCAATCCGCCGCGGCGGCAGGGACAGTGCCCACCCCGAAGTGACCCTTCTGATGCACAGCGGGCGCGCCGTGCCGCCGCCCTTGTCCACATTGGGGAGCTGTCCGCCGCAGGGCATGCCCTCACTGCTCAACCAAAAGCCGCTGGCACCCTTGACACGCTCGCCGAGCTTCGTGACCCGGAGCGGCGGCCCCCCGTGCCGTATGCCCCCGTGCCCGACGGCGTCCTCGGACACGTGCCTGCAGAGACATGCCCGCTGCCCCTGCAAGACTTCCTCCGGGGCCTGCGGAGTGCACGACGGGGCTCCGCAGCCGGGCCTTCTGGCACCACCAACGAGCACCTCCGCATCCTCTTGGACGACGATGAAAATGCTCGCCTCCTGCATGGCGCCGCCGTCCGGCTCGCCAATGCAGACGTGCCTTCCGAGGTGCTTGAGGGAATCCGGGTCGGACGCCTAGTCGCCCTTCAAAAGCCCAACGGCCGGGTGCGTGCTCTTGCGGTTGGCGACGTCCTGCGTCGTCTCGTCGGCCGGGTGCTCGCGCAGCACTTCGCCCCTCGCCTGCAACAGGCATGCATGCCCCACCAGTTCGGGCTGAGCACCCGCTCAGGGACGGAAGCTGTGAGTCGGCTCCTCCGCGCCGCCACCGAAGCAAGCCCTCGAGCCACCGTGCTCTCTGTCGACGCTGTTGGCGCTTTTGATCATGTCTTGCGCGGCGCCATGCTGACCGCGCTTCATGCGAGGCCTGAGCTCCAGCCCCTCCTCCCCTTCGCGCGCCAGTTCTACGCTGACCCCAGCACGTACACGTGGTATGACGACGATGGACGTGCTCACGACATCTCCCAAGGAGAGGGCGGCGAACAAGGCGATCCACTGATGCCCGCGCTGTACGCGTTAGCACAACATGAAGCGCTCTGTAACCTCCACAGCCAGCTTCAGGACGGGGAGGCCGTGTTCGCGTTCCTCGATGACACATATGTCGTCGCCGCGCCTGATCGCGTCCGCACGCTTTACGACGCTCTCGCGGCTGCCCTCTGGGACCGGGCATGCATCCGCCTGCATCAGGGCAAAACTCGGATTTGGAATGCCGCCGGGGAGGAGCCCCCAAACATTGGCGACCTTGCGGGACACGCGCGCCAACTTCGGCGTAAGCGCGACGACCAGGACCGGCTCCTCGAACGCATTCCTGCCGTCGATGACTTGCAGGCAGGGTGGCTCCTCCTGCGCTCCTGCGCCGCCACACGCGCGAACTACCTTTTGCGCATCCTCCCCCCCCACCTCACCGCCGAGTATGCAGCGGAGCATGACGCAGCCGTCGCTCGGTGCCTCACAACGCTGCTGGAACAAGGGGCGCGGCGACGCAAGCCCAAGCACACTTGCGTGACCTTGGGTACGAAGCACCGGACTGGGCAGTCATCTGCTCCGGTGCCGCCGCGCCCCCCGCACCAAACCAAGCTGAAGACCCGTGGCCGTTCAAGGGCTGGCAGCGTTCGGCTGCCCGTGCATGCGATCAGCGCGCGTACGAGACGCATCTTTCTCACCTCACCTCTGCGTCCTGTGCGCTGCTGCTGTCCCAAGCCGGGCCCTTCGCCTCCCACGCCCTGAACCTCATGCCCACCCGCGAGGATGCTGCGATCCCCAGTGCGCAGTTCCGGGTCCTTTTGCTGCGGCGCTTGCGCATGCCCCTCCCGCTTGCACCGCGCAGGTGCAGCTGCCACGGGGAACTCGACCCTCTTGGTGACCACCGCACGGCCTGCGCCACCTCGGGCGTTCTGTCCACTCGCGCGCTGCCGCTCGAGCACGCCGTCGCGCGGGTATGCCGTGAAGCTGGCGCCAGAGTGGCACGCCACGTCAGGCTCGCGGACATGAACCTGGATGTGCCTGTCGCGCTTGATGCCACCATCGTTTCTCCCCTCACCAGGCGCGGCGAAGCCCACCCGCGCGCCGACGTGCAGCCGGGCTGCGCGGTCGCTGCCGCCGCACTGCGCAAGCGCTTCCAGACCTACCCGGAACTTGAGAGCGCACGCCGCTGTCGACTTGTCGTGGTTGGTGTCGAGGTCGGCGGCAGGTTCGGCGCCGAAGCCGTTCAGCTCCTGCGCCTCCTCGCCCGCCACCGCGCAGCGTCGGTCCCCGCCCATATGCGGCCCGCCGCCGTCTCGTCTTGGGTCGCAGGGCTTAACAGGTTCGTGCTCCCTGCATGCCCTTTTCGAACTGAATGAAAATGAGCTTTCGTGCGACCGCGGAGGGGCATGCACCCCTCTGGGCCAATGGACGGCCAGGCCGGAAAATCAGGGGCTGCACAGCCAGCAGGCTTGCAAGAAGGTGAAGACCTTTTCTATCTCCGTTTGCAATTTTTTTTTCGATGGCTCGGCGCATATGGCAACAAGCCACGATCCTTCGTGTGGCCCCGATTGGGATCGTACCAGCGCCCGGGCGTCCGGCGTCATAGCGCGCAGCATCAGACTGTCGCGGAAATGTTGGTTTCGAGTACGCGACGACGAATGAAACTGCCGGCCATGGCTGAGCTCGCGATTGGAAAACGAGGCGTTTGTGTGGTGGTCGCATTGCAAATGCTTGCTCGGGCAACTGCATCCAACATCAACAATTCTGTGGGAATAGCAGGAACGTTGGCGACTTTGTGCTTTCTTGCTGCAGGGGAAGGCTCACTTGTTTGCAAGCCTTGAAAGCTCTAGTGATTCCGGTTCACCAGGCCTTCGTAGCATCTTCATGTTGCACAGTATGTGCATCTGGGTGATCTCGGACGGAGAGATTGACGGCAACTTCTACAGCGCATGCCTGGCCCCCGGTCCTGCTTCGCTCACTACTCACTAGTCGTCTAACACTAAGCCTTACAGACTTGGCAGTATGTCGTAGACCTTTCGGCTCCAGAGCAGAGGGTTCACGCATCCCAGCACGTCGTTGTGATGCTTCGACGCTTTGATGACATTGTTTATGGGACGCCGCAGAAGTAATGGCACCGGGTTTAGCCCATTGTTATCATAGATCCCTCAGCCCTAAACTAAACCTGTTGGCGTAGATGACTCCATGCACGAGAGGAACGCGGTCAGCTGAGCTGAGGTGCATGGGCTTTGGGATCATGCATTCTCGTTGCCGTGGTCAGCGAACCCACTTGCAGCGCCGGGGATTGTGAAGAGAGCAACATCCTTCAAGCTTGGAACATGAAGCCCGAGCTTTCTGTGAATGAAACACAGGCTGAGAGCGTGGCGGTTTGTGGAAATGCTACCGGGTGTCCCAGTCGTGGCTGTTGGTTCTTCCCCTTCACATTTGCGAGGGACTATGAATGTGTCTATGTGGTGCTGTGGCCTTTGGCTCCTACCAAGGTGATGTATTGCCATGACGGCAGGCTGTACAAGTGTGGTAACAAGCCCGAGGCGACTTGTCATGACTTCCAAGCCCCCGATCCATGTGTCACAACAACTGCCACCACTACCACCGCCGCCAACCCCTCTTCAACCACAACAACTGGTGTCGCCGCCACGACCACCGCCACGACCACCACCACGACCACCACCACCACCACCACCACCACCACCACCACCACCACGACCAGCACCACGACCACGACCACTACCTCGACCACCACCACGACTACGAAGGAAGAGGTGTTCATGCTGAGGACTTCATGGCATGATGAGGTCGCGTGCCTCGGCACTTTGGAAGAGTATCAAGTGTTGGTCGGCAGATGTCTTGGTCTCGATGACCAGCGCTTCAGCTATGAAGATTATCAGCTGAAGGTTTTGGGTGACAAGTGTGTATCGGTCAGGGCATTCTCCAAAACCCTTGCAAGCAATGAGTTCAATGAGCTCAATCAGACTCTCCGTGACGAGTCTTCCGCCTTGGATGCGGTGCTTCAAGACTGTTCTGAAATTGAGGAGTCTCAATATATTACTTTCGATGCAGACGGTACCATTGGCTTCCACCACAACGAACAAAACTCTCCTCTTTGCTTGGACTGGGATGTGGATGGATTGTTTCGCACCAACAATGCCTACTTCTACCAGTGCAACGGACAGGAGAACCAAGTTTGGGCCAAGATTCAACCGGCTGCGGAAGTTTTCTACACTTTCTTTGAAAACCTCTACGAGAACACGCACTGCTTGGCGTTCGAGGGCCAGGAAGCTCGGCAAACATCAACCCTAGACCCTAAACCCTGAACCCTGAAGCCTAAGCCCTAAATCCTCAAGAAAGAAATAAATCGAAGTTGCTTGTCACTGCTTGCCTTGAACCCCCTAAACCGTCAATTTCAAGGCCAACCCGGTCGAGTCACAAAACTCCACCAAATTCGAATCAAGTTCCACACCGAATTCAAAATCTGTCAGGCGCAAAACCTGCCGTTCAGTTGCAAAACCCAGCCTTCCCCACCAGCCCCGCCAGCCCCAGCAGCCCCAGCCCCCGAGCCCAAAATTCTGGTTCCCGTGGCAAAACTGCACCCAAAATCTTTCCCTCCCAGCCGCCCAGTCCCACAGAATGCCCAGCCCGGCCCCCCCCAAACCCAGGCTCCAAATCCAACCCAGCCCAGCCTCCAGGCTCACCCAGCCCCACCCTTGCCCCAGCCCCGAGCCCCCCGCCGCCCCCAAATTCAAAACGTGGATCCAATAAGAAAACTTTGTCAAAACGTTTCGGTCGAAACTTATTGGCACCCAAACCCTTAACAATTTCTATAAACCAGGAGGTGAAGGCTGTTCCGCAGGGGGATGACTGTCCGAAGTGGCAATGGAATCTTCAGACCGCTGCTTTGGTGCTTGGAGACTTGTGTCTCACGATGTCCGATGCTTGGCTGAAGAGTTTATTTTTGGGGTGCTTTTTGAAATGTCGGCCTACAATCATCATGTTATCTATTCAGGTTCTCGACAGCATAGAATATAGGACCCTCGTTCCACGGAGCCCTGAATAATGTTTTGGCTTGGGCGTGAAGCATCTCGTCGTGTCACTGAGCCTTTGTGTCAAACAGGGTGGCGAAGGAGAGCCTTAGCGTACAACCTACTGGTTTCGCTCTCGCTTCTTCGACATGCAGATGTTTGCGCATGTGTGCATTTGGTGCTTTGTGCTGTGTCGGTGGAAAGCCTCGCTTTTGTCGTTGTGTGATTGCGTTCTCGATTCTATTCACCTGGTCTTGGACATGCTTTGTTTCCATCTGCACCTCCCAGTGCAACAAATCATATCACAGTTGTTTTCCAGCGATTTGGTGTCGCGACTCAAAGAAGTAGGAGACCTCATAAACTGCTTTGGTCAACTTGGGTGCCGAGCCTAGGACTTCCCCGAACTCTTGACCATGAACGAGACAATGAAGAGCGTGGTCAAAGAGGATGCCACACTCCAGGAATGCGACGGCTCCGAAGCTCAGAAGTTCATCTATACTTCCGAAGGGATGATTCAACCTCGGGGACAAGACCTTTGCCTAGACTGGGATGTGGACGGCCTCTTCATCAAAGACAATGTTTACTTCTACACGTGCAATTATCAAACCAATCAACTCTGGATACCGCCTACAGGTTCTTGAACCTCCGATTCTATTTCAGTCTCTCGAGCGTTTTCCTGCACGTTGGAAACATCTTTCAAATATCCTCACTTTTGTGTCTCAGAAATAGCGCAAG